CCTGCCTCAGCCTCCCAACATGCTAGGATTACAGGCATGAGCCCCCATGCCCAGCCTTCTATTTCTGATATTAGTCATGTATGTTTTCTCTCTTTTTTTTCTTAGCTAGCAAGAAGTTTATTGATTGTATTAATTTTGCCAAAGAACCAACTTTCGCTTTCATTGATTTTGCTCTAATGTTTTCTTGTTTTCGGTTTTATTGTTTTCTGTTCTAATTTTTATTTTTATTTTATTGGTTTTTTGAGATGCGGTCTCACCGTTGCCTGGGCTGGAATGCAATGGTGTGATCATAGCTTACTGCAGCCTCGAAATCATGGTCTCAGGTGATCCTCTCATTTCAGCCTCCTGAGTCTCTGGGCTTACCAGGAATGAGTCACAGCACCTGGCTCTGTTTTCTGCTCTAATTTTTATTATTTCTTTTCTTCTGATTGTTTTAGACTTATATTGCTCTTATTTCTATAGTTTCCTAATGTGGAAGTGTAGATTGAGTTTAGATCTTTTTTCTTTGCTAATATATGTGTACGATGCTAGAAGTTTCCCTGTAGCTAATGTGGGTGGATCACTTGAGGCCAGAAGTTCAAGACCAGCCTGGCCAACATGGTGAAACCCTGTCTCTACTAAAAATACAAAAAAGTAGCCGGGTGTGGTGGTGTGTGCCTGTAATCCCAGCTACTTCGGAAGCTGAGGCAGGAGGATTGCTTGAACCCAGGAGGTGGAGGTTGCAGTGAGCAGAGATTACGCCACTGTACTCCAGCCTGGACAACAGAGTTAGACTCCATCTCAAAAAAATGAAAGATAAAAATAAAGTAATAAAAATACAAAAATTAGCCTCATGAGATGGCATGTGCCTGTAGCCCCAGCTACTCAAGAGACTGAGGCATGAGAATCACTTGAACTGAGGAGGCAGAGGTCACAGTGAGCTGAGATTGTGCCACTGCCCTCCAGCCTGGGTGACAGAGCAAGACTCTGCCTCAAAAAAAAAGAAAAAAAATTACCTTGAGACTTCTTCTTTGACCTTTGTGTTATTTAGAAGTATGCTGTTTAGGCCGGGCACGATGGTTCACGCCTGTAATCCCAGCACTTTGGGAGGCCGAGGCAGGCGGATCACAAGGTCAGGAGATCGAGACCATCCTGGCCAACATGGTGAAACCCCGTCTCTACTAAAAATACAAAAATTAGCTGCGCATGGTGGTGCGTGCCTGTAATCCCAGCTACTCAGGAGGCTGAGGCAGGAGAATTGCCTGAACCCAGGAGGCGGAGGTTGCAGTGAGCCGAGATTGCACCACTGTACTCCAGTCTGGCGCCTGGCGACGGAGTGAGACTATGTCTCTAAAAAAAAAAAGAAGTATGCTGTTTAATCTCCAAGTATTTTGGAATTTTCGAACTGTCTTTCTGTTAATTATTTCTAGTTTAATTTCAGTGTGGTCTGAGACTGAGAGAACACTTTGTTATTTTCGTATTTTGTTTTTGGAGGCGGAGTCTTGCTCTGTTACCCAGACTGGAGTGCAGTGGCACAATCTCGGTTCACTGCAAACTCCACCTCCCAAATTCACACAATTCTCCTGCCTCAGCTTCCCAAGTAGCTGGGATTATAGGCATACACTACCACACCTGGCTAATTTTTGTATTATTAGTAGAAATGGGATTTCACCGTATTGGCCAGGCTGATTCAAACTCCTGACCTCAGGTTATCTGCCCATCTCAGCCTCCCAAAGTGCTGGGATTATAGGCATGAGCCACTGCACCCAGCCTGAGAGAATTTGTATGACTTTTAAAAAATTCATTAAGATATGCCAGGCATTCATTTTTTAAATTAGTTTTCCAATCACTTTGTTCAATTAATTTTTAAATTCCTTTTTTTTTTCTGTGACAAAGTCTTGCTCTGTCACCCAGGCTGGAGTGCAATGGTGCTGTCTCACCTCACTGCAACCTCCACCTCATAGATTCAAGCGATTCTCCTACTCCTCCAGAGTAGCTGGGAAGGGGAAGAGGAAGGAAAAAGGAAACGGGAAGGGGCGGGAGAGAGAGAGAGAGAAAGGAAGGAAGAAGAAAAGAAAGAGATAAAGAGAAAAATGGTAACTGTGAGGTGATAGACATGTTAATTAGGTTACAATTAAAAATGAAATAAAATAGCTTAAAAATTCTGTGATGCATCAGCTACACACACACACACACTTATTCACACATTTAGGTTGTTCTGTCTCTATCCATCCATCTATCTGTCTATCCATCCATCCATCTATCTATCCACCCATCCATCTATCATCTATCTGTGTATATAGCCAGCCAGTTTCTTAAATGGTCTTCTTGCTTCTGGACGTCATTTCCTCTGCATATTGCTGCCAGAAAGATCTTCTAAATCATAGTTATAAATCATGCCATGGTACATCTTAAAACGTTTCGTAATTTCCCATTTTTTTCAAAATAAAATCCAAACTAGTCAGTCTGGCCTTCAAGGTCTTAGGTGATCTAATATCAACGCGCATTCCCAATTTATCTCACACTGTTTCTGCTCTTGTGTCCCAGGCGCTAAGAAAATCAGACTGCTTACCACTCCCCAAATAAACTCCACACTCAAGAGACCAGCATGACTCTGCTTAGGGTCACTTGTCTTTGGAATACAACCCTGAGGTACAATCTAGGCATGCTAAAATCCTACTGCACTTGCCAGTCCAGTTCCAATATTGCTCGTTCTGAGAGTGTTTCCTGAGCCCCTGAAACTGTTCTCTACACCTGTACTCTTCTTGTTTCTCACAATTATAGCATTCTTTTTCTTACAATAATTTGAATACTAGCTTTATCTCTGTTCCTGGTCCCTAGCAAGAAGAGAGCTTGCTATTCCTGGCATCCTTCACACCTAACACAATGACTTGCACGTAGAAAACATTCCGTACATGTGTCTTGAAATAATTGCCCTAAACAAGTTAATTTCTCAAATAAAACGACAGTTCCATTGGGTTCTGATATGGTTAGGCTTTGCGTCCCCGCCCAATTCTCAACCAGAATTATGATCCCCAGGTGTTGAGGGAAAAACCTCGCCCGCCACCATACCCGGATAATTTTTGTATTTTTAGGAGACAGGGTTTCACTATGTTGATGAGGAGGGTCTGGAAACTCCTGACCTCATGATCCGCCCACCTCGACCTCCCAGAGTGTGTTGGGATTACAGACGTGAGCTACCACACCTGGCCTTAATTTCCTTTTTAGATTATACAAGATTGGCAAAATGTTGATATTTATTAAATCTGGATGATGAAAACATGCGGCTTCATTATACCATTTTCTCTATTTCGTGTATAAGTGAACATTTTCATAATAAAAAGCTTTTATAACTATCTAAGAGTTCTGTGAGTTACCAGGAGTGAAAGGAAAAAAAGAAAAACTACTTAAGGCCAGGTGCAGTCGTTTACACCTGTAAACCCAATACTTTGGGAGGCTGAGGTGGGAGGATCACTTGAGCCCAGGAATTCAGCCTGGGAAACATAACCAGTCCCCTGTCTGTACAAATAATCAAAACATTAGTCGGGCATAGTGGCACATGCCTGTGGTCCCAGCTACACAAGACGCTTGGGTGGGTGGATCACGTGGGCCTGGGAGGTCAACTGCAGTGAGCCTTAATTGCACCACTGCACTCCAGCCTGGGTGAGAGGATGTGACCCTATCTCAAAAACAAACAAACAAATAAACCTACCTAAAACCATAACATGGTATCTGACATATAGTAAGGGATCATCGGGCCATCATCATCATCACTATCACCATCATCATCATCATCATCATCATCATCAAAAAGACAGTTTTGGGGCTTTGTGTCTCCTCCATCCTCGACTTCTTCTCCAGACATATCATCCTATTATTGTTGAAGCATATTTAAGTCTCCCTCTGTCCTTCTCTTTCACTTCTCAACTCAGCCATTTTTGCCTCTCTGGATGTGTTGCCTCTGATCACTCTCTGTTGCCTCTGATCACTCTCTCTTTGGCTTCTGGGCCAACGTCACTCCTGGCTTTCCTCCAACTTCTCTGGCCCCACTCTTTTTTTTTTTTTTTTGAGATGAAGTCTCTCTCTGTCACCCAGGCCAGAGTGCAATGGCATGATCTCAGCTCACTGCAACCTCTGCCTTCTGGGTTCAAGTGATTCTCCTGCCTCAGCCTCCCCAGTAGCTGGGATTACAAGCACGTGTCACGTGTCACCACGCCCAGCTAATTTTTGTATTTTTGGTAGAGACGGGGTTTTACCATGTTGGCCAGGCTGGTCTCAAACTTTGATGTCGTGATCTGCCCACCTCGGCCTTCCAGAATGCCAGGATTACAGGCCTGAGCCACCACGCCCAACCCTCCTTCTGTCTTTCTTGTGAACAGTTTTCACTGCCTGTTCCATATACTTTGGTGCTTCCCAGGTTCTATCTTAGGTCTGTTTCTCTCTCAGTCTATGCACTGTCACTGGATGATCTCTTCCAGATAGTCCATGTTTTGTTACCATCCAAATATTGCTGCCTCCAAAATTCACAATCCCAATCTGGCTTTCTCTCATAAATTTCAGCCACGTATCTCCAGCCACTGGCTAGACCCTTAAAACTCAACAACATTCACAAAACTAAAATCTATAAACCAGTTCTGACAGTCCCCATCTTGGCAGAGAGTACCACCACCTGCCTACCTTCCAGCCAATGTCCAGCTCAAAAGTCTGGGTCATCCTCTCTTCCTCCCTCTACTTCGTCACCCAGATCCAGTCTCCATGTCCACTGTGGCTTGAATGTTTATGCATCCTCCAAAATTTATATATTGAAACTTAATTGCCAATGTTAACTGTGAGGGAGCCATTGCCTCCCAAATGCTTCCCTGGAGGGTCTCCTTCCTCTGGGACTCTCTTGCCTCTGTGTCCGTTCACTAGCAACTGGTCTTGGGTCCTGACAGCAGGGATCAGGGCTTGAGTCCTCCTCGGCCTCCCAAAGTGCTGGGATGACAGACATGAGCCATCGCGCCTGACCTAAAACAATTTTTTTTTATATGGAATGCTTCATGAATTTGCTTGTCATCCTTGCACAGAGGCCATGCCATCCTTCTCTATATTGTCCCAATTTTAGTATATGGGCTGCCAAAGCGAGCACTATTGTCACTTATTTTAAGTATTCAGATCTACTCTTCTGAACCTTGGGGGTCAATGTATTTTGATTCAGACTTTTTTAGATTTTACAAAGGTGCATAATTACAAAACATCCTTAGTGTGCTTGAGGTAGCAACTCACAACAGTCAAATTCATTAATATTTCTGCAGAGTAGTCACTTTAAGTGAGATAACTAAAGAATATCAATAGCACCACATCAGTTTGGATAAGGTGGTACAGCCAAACAATTAGCTACAAACTTGGAAGACAAACACAAAAACAAAACAGCCTTGTGGTTCCAGGGATTTTTGCCTGGGGGAACTACAGGTGAGAGACGTGGACCTGTTTATATAGAAGCATCTGGAAAGCCTGACTCATTATGTTGTTACCGTGCTGTTGCTCATTGAGGAGACTGTGGCTTATTTTTATTTTTGCCTTTTGACTTTGCTGTTTTAATTTTTCTGTACCAAGTATTAATTACTCTTTTTCCTATAGTTTCTTTAATTTCAATCAATTCAGATAAATGTAACACAGATTTAACACAGAGAGAATATTACGTTGTTCAGTGGACCTCAGAAAGACCATAGTATGCATTGGGTTCACAATTTTCATGTGTGCCTTTAAAAAGTTTATTTTTCTGGGGAAGCAGGGAAAAACAAAGGAGATGGAACTGGTTTTTCTATTCTTTTTCTTCTGTCTTTAATCTGGTCCCAGCAACATAGTCCATATCCAGCCATATCCAGAACTAGCTCATTTCTCGACTGGGGCTTGCCCTACCTCCTCTCTTACTTTTTTTTTTTTTGAGATGAAGTCTGGCCCTTTCACCCAGGCTGGAGTGCAGTGGTGTGATCTTGGCTGACTACAACCTCCACCTTCCAGGTTCAAGTGATTCTCCCACCTTAGCCTCCCAAGTAGCTGGGACTACAGGCACACACCACCATGCCTAGCTACTTTTTATATTTTTAGGAGAGATGGAGTTTCACCATATTGGCCAGGCTGGTCTTGAACTCCTAACCTCCTGAACCACCCACCTCAGCCTCCCAAAGTGCTGGGATTACAAGCATGAGCCACCGTGCCCGGCCCCTCCTCTTTCATGATAAATATATGTTAGTTTTACATTAAAAAGTAAAACAAGACCAGGCATGGTGCATCTACCTGTAATCCCAGCATTTTGGGGGCCGAGGTGGGAGGATTTCTTAAAGGCCAAGAGTTCAAGACCAGCCTGGGCAACATAGCAAGACCCCATCTCTACAAAAAATGAGCTAAGTTAGCTTGGCATGGTGGTGTGTACCTGTAGTCCCAGCTACTCAGGAGGCTGAGGCAAGAAGATAGCTTGAGCCCAAGATTTTGAGGTTGTAGTGAACTGTGACTGCACCACTATACTCCAGCCTGGGTGATAGAGCAAGACCCTGCTTCTCTTAAAAAAAAAAAAGGTCAGGTACAGTAACTCATGCCTGTAATCCCAGCACTCTGGGAGGCTGACATGGGCAGATCACCTGAGTTCAGGAGTTTGAGACCAGCCTGGCCAACCTGATGACCCCATCTCTACTAAAAATACAGAAGTTAGGTGGGTGTGGAGGCACATGTCTGTAATCTCAGCTACTCAGAAGACTGAGGCAGGAGAATTGCTTGAATCCAGGAGGCAGAGGTTTCAGTGAGCCAAGATGGCACCACTGCACTCCAGCCTGGGTGACAGAGCCAGACTCTGTCTCTAAATAAATAATTAATTAATTTTTTAAAAATAAAATGAAAACCACAATAAACTGAAAAATAAATAGAATGTGGGGACAAGTGAGGGAAGTGTATGTGGACAGGGGAAATGGGGAAAGAAGAACCCCACAGGGCCACAGAGCCTGTGGGGTTTAGGGGAGGTTTTTAGGGAGCCAGGAAGGAGATGTCACTGGGCAGAGCTACAGTCAATGAGGCAGGGAGAGGCGGCTGTTTGGGGCGACTTTGCAGCTCAGGGCCGGTGCAGGGCCCAGCTGGGGAAGAGGAAATGTGGAAACAGCCGTGGGCCAACCTGCTGAGTTCTCTAAGCCTGTACCAGGAGCCCTTTCCTCTACAGCTTCTTGGGAGCTTGAACAATTTGAGGGAAGTTACATATCCAGGAGGAAATTGCAATGCATGCGTGTGAAGTCTTCTAGTCAACTGTCCATGTGGTTGAGAATTCCTTAGGATTACCAAAAACAAGCGCTACTGAAAGGGACCTATGTCTATGTCTATATCCTCTATGTCTATCTATATATTTATCTGAAATCATGAGCCTTGCCAGACTCGGACTGGCTGATGATTGAGGGGCTTCTGCCAGAGGGCTGGTCAGCTTGGGAAAGGGAAGTGTGCCTAAGCCAATGGAGGTCACAGAAGAGGGGTGGGAGAGGCTGGCAGAAAGTCTAAATAGAAAAGGAGCTTTAGATTAGGTAAGTCCTATGGGGACTTTAAGGACATTGGAAGGTAGAAAATTCCAGATGAGGGAGACATCATGTACTCACAAAACAAAACAAAACAAAATAAAAATTAGCTGGGTGTGGGGTCACGCACTTGTAGTCCCAGCTACCCAGGAGGCTGAGGCATGAAAATCACTTGAATCTGGGAGGTGGAGGTTGCAGTGAGCCAAGATTGCACCACTGCACTCCAGCTTGGGCAACAGAGCAAGACTGTCTACAAATAAATAAAATAAAAATTTTAAGTATTAAAAAAAATAAGTGATGATAAAACAGTGATGCTGTACAGCATGTACATGTTCCAGGTACTGCCAAGCACTTTGCATATATTAATCAAATGCTCGTAACAACTCTGTAGGGTAAGCACTCTTATCTTCATCTGCATTTTACATATGAGGAACAGGACTACATTGTACCTACTGTTTCACGCTTGCTTTCTGCTCTTAATATGTCTTGAACATCTTTCAATTAAGTGAATATTTATCTACAGCATCGTGGCTGCATCATGTCCTACTGTGTGGCTGTGTGATCACTTCACCCGTCCTCTGGTACTGGACACTTAGGTTGCTTCCATGCCCTTTGTTTTTGGTGCATTTCTCTGTGAGACCCTTCAGTAGAGGTCTGTGAGTCATCCCTCTCAAACCTTTCACCATGAGAGGACAGCACACCCCAGTGGCTACTAGCTCCTTGAACGGAAGCTATGTCTTCCTACCTCTTGACCATTTCCCTTTTAATGTATTTTTTATTTTTTCTTATTCTAACAGAAATGTGCTCCAGCTGAGTGTGGTGGCTCACCCCTGTAATCCAAGCACTTTGGGAAGCCAAGTTGGGTGGATCACCTGAGGTCAGGAGTTCGAGACCAGCTGGCCAACATGGTGAAACCCTGTGTCTACTAAAAAAAAAAATACGAAAATTAGCTGGGCATGGTGATGGGCACCTGTAATCCCAGCTACTCAGGAGGCTGAGGCAGGAAAATCACTTGAACCTGGAAAGTGAAGTTTGCAGTTAGCCAAGATCGTGCCATTGCACTCTAGCTTGGGTGACAGAGTGAGACTCTATCTCAAAAAAAAGAAAGAAAGAAACAAAAAAGAAAAAGAAATGTGCTCATTCTCTGTATATCTCTGTCTAATTTCCTAGCATTTGAAAGATCCATTTTACCACTGTTGGGGCAGGATCTGAGCTGGGCGGCATCCCTCCCTTTGTGCAACACGGCCTCTTTGGTTTCCTGCCCTTAAGTCCTGTCAGTTCTACTGACCTACTTCCCTGTCTGTGTGACTCGGTTTTAGAAAGTGAGTATGTCATCTCGTGAGGTCTGCAGCCCTATTATCTGAAGTTACATGTTTAGCTGAATGGGTCTTCTTTTGATGTCTTCTAATCTTGATTCTTTTCCCAGAGTTGTCACTAAATTGTCCCATGCCACCTGTTCCCTGTGGCTGCTGTGACACATTACCACAAATTTCGTGGCTTAAAACTACATAATTTTTTTTATTTTGAGACAAGGCTTCACTCTGTCACCCAGGCTGGAGTGCAGTGGCACAATCTTGGCTCACTGTAACCTTTGCCTCCAGACTTAAAGTGATCCCCACCTCAGTCTCCCGAGTAGCTGGGACTACAGGTAAATGCCACCACACCCGGCTAATTTTGGAGGATATTTTTTGTAGATATAGGGTTTTGCCGTGTTGCCCAGGCTGGTCTCGAACTCCTGAGCTCAAGCGATCCATCTGCCTCAGCCTCCCAAAGTGCTGGCATTATAGACATAAGCCACCAGGCATGGTCCAGATATTTATTCTTTCACAATTTAGGAGGCCAAACATCTGTAGTCAACGTGTCAACAAGGCAGCACTCCCTCTGAAGTCATGGAGGAGAATCCTTCATTGCTTCTTCCAGCTTCTGGAGGGTTCCAGGAGTTCCTCAGCTTATGGCTGCATAACTCAGATCTCTGCCTCTGTCCTCACATAAACTTCTCTTTCCCCAGGTGTCTCTTCTCTGTCTCTTATAAAGACACTTGTCATTGGATTTAGGGTCCATCCAGATAATTCAGGATGGGCTGGGTGTGGTAGCTCATGCCTGTAATCCAAGCACTTTGGGATGCCAAGGCAGGTGGTTCACGAGGTCAGAAGTTCAAGACTAGCCTGGCCAACATGGTGAAACCCTATCTCTACTAAAAAAAAAAAAAATACAAAAATTAGCCAAGCATGGTGGCACATGCCTGTAATCCCAGCTGCTCAAGAGGCTGAGGCAGGAGAATCACTTGAACCCAGAGGCAGAGGTTGCAGTGAGCCCAGATCACACCACTGCACTCCAGCCTGGGTGACAGAGCAAGACTCTGTCTCAAAAAAAACAAAAAACAAAAAACCACAAAACAGATAATCCAGGATGATCTCACCTTGGGATTACATCTGCAAAGACCTTTTTCCAAATAAGGTCACATTCACAGGTTCCAGAGGTTATAATGTGGGCCAACTTTTTGGGAGCCACCATTCAACCCACAATAGGATCATTCTTCCCAAGTCTAGGGATTTGTTTTTCCTCTTCACGCTCTCCAGGTGAGACCTCTTGCTCT